TATATGAGGAGGAGAGTGAAAATAAGAGTGAGTGGGCGTTCAGGGCGGTGCAGGGCTCATGCAGCAGGATGAAAGATGTTAGCATGTGGCTCAGAGCTGGGCTCTGGGATCCTGACAGCTCGGTCCTAACAATAATAAATCGGCAGAGACCACAAGTATGAACGGACAGATGGACGCAGGAGGGGGAGGAGAGGAACAGAAACAGAGCCACATCAGAGAAGGAGATTCATGAAGTGAGGAAAGTGAGGCAGCGGAGGTTTGGGTAAACAAAGATCCAAACATGAAAGAGGTTTGAATAAAACGCACGAAGGCCTGACCTGATGTAGCGTTTCTGGTCGTGAAGCGTTGACGGCGTCTGCAGCAGCTTCTCCAGCAGTAGCCTCCTCAGAGCTTCGATTCTGGTCTCCACCTCCGCGTAGACTGAAACAGCAAAACGGCTCAAATGAAAACAAATAATAATAAACAAACAATAAACGCACAGAAAGCCGTACCCGTCTTGAAAACCGTCACTTCCGTGTTGCCAAACAGAGACTTGGCTTTCTCGTAGTCGTTGATCACCACGTCGTAATCTCCCTGTTATAAAAAGAAGTTATTGTTTTTAATAACTCATCAATCATGACACTCAGTGTGTATTCAAGCCTCTCTAGCTCCACCCTCTGGTTCAAAGTCGTCCAAGCTGCACTTTAAAACAAATAAACAATAAGAACTGAGGATGGATGGAGCTGAAAAGAGCCCAGGGTTTATGAAAAACAGTTGAAACTAATTTAATAAAAACCATCGTTATTTTTATCAACTTCTGCTCAAGAAACTGCATTTCCTGTGAAAATCTTAGCTGGAATGCTTACTGCTAAAAACTGTAGCTGAAAGCTAAAGTTTAATGCTAATTAAAACGTGAAATAAGCTGCAATAAGCACAAAAAGTAGATATCAGCAGAAGAATAGAAACTAGCTGAATTATATCTAAAATATCAGAAAAATTAAATTTATGAAATAAGTAAAGTAGCTAAAACAAGCTAATCAAGGCTAATAGTAGCTAAAATTAGCAGAGGCGAGTTGAAATTAACACAGATGGTGGAAGGAGTGTAAAACATTTCGAATCAGCAGAAAAAAGAAGTTAAACGTGGAGATTTGCTGTAAAACAGGTAAAACAGAAAACAGCTGAAATGAGTATATAAAGTAGGGCTGCAACAACTAATCAATGAAATCAATAAAAATCCATCCATGCATCCATTTTCTGTGGCAACAAATATCAGTTTGGATTTGTTGTCAGGTGATTTATGATGGAATTTTTCAATGGATAATTTTAAGTTAATTTGCTGACAGTCTGAGTGAAGACGTTTGTCTTAACTTAAATCTGCAAATTAAACAAGACATTTATTTCATTATTGTAAAAAGGAGCTGTCTGGACTGAAAGTCCTCTTAACATGATGTCTCTGACATGAGACTGTCCATGAGACTGTCCATGAGACT